AGAATCATGGCGAGCCATCAAGCGTCTGAGAGTGTGAAGCTCATCCTGGAAAAGAGAAGCAGTGTCACCCAAGGCACTAGCTGTAGTCTCCGATACATGTGCTTGGGGACGAACACCACGACCACGACCACGACCACGGCCTCAAGTAGGCCGACCATGTAACTTCCAACAGTGCTCTTTATCATATCTATCTTTCCCACAATAATCACACTTCAACCAATCCCAATCAACCAAGGGACCCGTAGTAGCACGTGACTTTGGGGCTGCAACCATTGCTGACCGATCCTGAGTAGAGACATGTACCATAGCATTACAACGACTCTCCTCCTACAGAACCAATGCATAAGCCTCATGTAGTGCGGGAAACGGAGAGCGACCCAACACCTGAACCCATATCTAATCATACTCCAAAGTCAGGCCAGCAAGAAAGTCATACACCCGCTCCATTTCCACAGCCTGCTGAAACATAGCGGCATCTGTGGAGCAAACTGGCTGGAAACTCTGGTAGTAATCTAGCTCTTGCCATAAACCACTCAACTCCGCATAGTAGATTGCAAGAGAACGATCCTTCTGATCCAAGCCCCTAATCTTCTTTCTCAATTCATAGGCCTATACATCATTACCCTATTGAGAATACATTTGAGAGGCACCTATCTAGATTTTGTGAGTAGTATCCATCAAGAGAAAAGTCCAACTAATAGGAGGCTCCATAGAATTGATTAGCCAGGTCATAACTAAAGCATTCTCAGAAATCCATTGCGCAGATAAAGCATTATCCGCAGTAGGTTGCTGGGTACTACCAGTAATATAGCTAGTCGAACGCCAGGCAGCAATAGCAAGACTACAGGAGTGGGACTAAATCAAGTAATTAAGACCATCAAGCTTGACCGGACTAATCTGGAGAGAAGGACTATCACCAAGAGTCAAACCACGACTCAGTCCACTCTCCTCCTTCCCCTTAAAGTCCTGAACCAAGCTGTCAACCATGAGATGAGAAAAAGAGGGTGCAGAAACATAAGCCAGATATCAAACAAGTCCAGACACCACCCAACCAGCACAGCAAATCATCTTCTAAAGCTAAAACAGTCCAAGATAAGCCCAAAACAGAGCAACCAGATCAACTACAAGCCAGAAAACTGAAACAGAGCATCTGAACAGCAATAAAAAGCCAAGGTAGGGCCAAATTACGTTAAACCAGGGATAACAAACCCCTCTAGGGCTCCAGTCGGCTCCCCAGGATAGGAAGAGGAGGGACAAAACCAGCAAACAAAGGTTCAAACAGTGACTTTCAAAAAATCACCAAGTTTTGACGAAAAATCAAAAAATTGAAAAACTCAATCAATAATGACCAAACAATCAAAAGGAGGTTATAGGGTGATTACCCATTAAATTTCGAGCAAACTGTGATTTTTTTTTTGTGTGTGTGTGTGTGTGTGTGTGTGTGTGTAAAACAGACGTACCAGGATACAAGAACAAGAAAGAGACTAAGAGGAACAATCTTCAAGGAGGAAGATATTGCTTTGATACCATGTTGAATGTATAGATGAGAAGAAGAAAAAGAAGAAGAAGAAGGAAAAGAAACAGAAAGAGAGAGAGAGAAGTTGCTATATTGTTTATTTTATTCAAAAGAATAGGATTTCCCCCTTACACCTATTTATAATAATAAGCATAAGACATAAAGACCAAACTACCCTAACACTTAACAAGTTTCTAGGATGAAATAGGAGTTGCTAGGGTAGGACATGAATGCAAGAGCATTAGAACTATGACAATGAAAAATCTTTAAAATTTTCATAACAACAAAAAGGAAGAGCAGGAACAAGAACACACACTTTTGTGAAGGGAAGAAAGTGGGGCAAAATTTTGACATAAAATATGATATTTATTGGATCAAATTTTTAACATGACAAGTTAAAAAGTACTGGACAATTACACCACCACTACAATCATATAAACTAAATAGATTTGCCTTATGAAAAGGCATAAATCAAAATCGGCATAGCCCTTAGATGTCATCAAATCTTCCAATACCTAGTTTAAACTGGGAACATAACAATTCAATAACTCCAATTTCAACAACAGAATTCCCACCATATGCTCTATACAGGACCATATTTTTGGTTAAACCAATAAACCATAAAATAGCATGCCTACCATCATTGTACGAAATTATGGATGAACTATTAATAAGTCCTAATTAAAAAACTTATTCAAGGTATCCTAATGAAGTGAGGAATGCTCACCCCCAGATCTTAATGTAAGTTTTCAGTAACTAAAACTACATGCCTCTCTCCTCGAACTGTTCTTATGCCACTTGATCACACATCCTTGACCAACTATCAATGTGTCCTTTTCCTTTTCTTTTCTTTTTTCCCAAATTTAAATGAGTAGAAAATCTTTCCTCTATCAAATAAACTATCATATAATTTACTTAACCAAAGAAGATAAGTAGGTTCTTCCACTTCTTGTACAACTTATTCAACAATCCCATTACAAAGTAACTTCCATGAGAAACATCTAGAGCGAAGCTAAAATTATTTTGGGATACTCTTTTTCAATGCTAATTGTTTAAGCTAAAATAGTGCTGCTAATAAGATTTATCTGTTCCTTCGTTGAATGGCTAGTCTTTGTTAACAGATCTATTTGCTCAAGTTAGCTCTACTGAGCCACAAACATCTAAACAAATAATGCCACTGTTTGGGAAGTGGGTTTGGTGGGTTTGGGTGGATTTGGGGCTAAAATAGCCAAAAATAAAATAAAATAGGCTTTTTATCCCCAATAAGACAAAACATCACATCCAACCCATAACCATTCAGTGTTTTTTAAGGCGAAAAGCAAACCGAGGCGACAAGGTCTCCTAATGCCTAAGCGCGAGGCGATGAGGCGAGGCGAGGCGATGAGGCGAGGCGAGGCGAGGGCTTCATCGAATCGAGGCGACCAGAAAAGATATTTTTTTTAAATAAATGGTATAGATAAAAATTAATTCTATCCAACAAGCAATTCAATGTTTCAGCATAAAGAAATTAAAGAACATATTTTAACAACATTAAAGAACATAAAGAAATTAAAATAGTTGAAATTAATTGAATTAAAACAATTAATTGAATAACCAGGAAATTAATTGAATTAAATTAATTGAATTAAAATAAACAAATTAATTGAATTAATTGAATAAACAAATTAATTGAATTAAAATAATTAATTGAATAACCAGAAAATTAAAATAACCAGAAAATTAATTTTATTGAATTAAATTAATTGAATTAAAATAAACAAATTAATTGAATTAATTGAATTAAACAAATTAATTGAATTAAAATAATTAATTGAATAACCAGGAAATTAATTGAATTAATTGAAATTTTAACACATAAGAAAAAAAAAATTGAATTAATTGAAAAAAATTTAATTTTAAAATAATTGAATTAATTTTTACGAATTAATTTTTGCGAATTAAAAATTAATTTTAAAAATTAATTGAATTAATTTTAACAGGTTTGACAGTGTTCAAAGAAGAACACTGAAGTCGAAGGGAAGCAGGTGAAGTCGAAGGGAAGTCGAAGGAAAGAACAGGTGAAGTCGACAGTGAACAAAGGAGAAAGGAAGAAGAAGAAGAAACGAAGAAGTAGGAACTCACCTCGGAACGACGTCCGAAGAAGGAACGAAGTCGACAAACGAAGACCCAGATGCTTCGACTTCGGAAAAAGAAGACCCAGAAGACCCAGACGTCGACGAACGAAGTCGATCTAGGGTTTGGACTTCTTATTTAATAACTAACTTTGTCGATGAAGGGCCCAGATGATTCAAACGAAGTCGATGAAGGGCCCAGATGATTCGAACTTAAATCAGGCCAAAATCTGATGAAGCGTCGCTTCTCTTCGCCTCGCGCTTCATCGCCTAAGCCTCGCTTCAGGCGCTTCTCCATCGCCTCACCATTTCACCTCGCCTCAGGGTGTGTGAAGCGCTGAAGCCTCGCCTCGCCTCGCTTAGCGCTTGGGCGAGCGCTTAGGCTCGCCTCTGATAACACTGTAACCATTACCTTCTTTCTTTCACAAAAAAGCCAAAAAACTCTTCCTAAACCAAGATTTTTAGTCCCAAGCTAAAATAGTCAAAAAAGCCAAAAAGTCAACCCACTTCCCAAACCAAACCAATGTATTTTGTTTCAAACTCCCAAAAAAATTACATCACTGTTGTGTTTGCCAAATACTACCATCTCTGGCCAATTAAAACTCAACTCCATGTAAACTAGCAGAAATCTACATTTCGGACACTCAATTGAAAATTGCCAAGTATCTTAAAAATCTTCTACAAATTTCTACATAAAACCTTGTTCCACAACACCAGCAAGTTCCAAGTCATCTATTCTTCAAGATAAGAATTCAAATATATTTCCACACTTCTCTTCATGTTCAAAGTACACCATCCTCCGCCAATTCAATGTCCCTTTCCATTAGTACACATAAACATTAATCCTCTAGTAGGAGCCATCATTGATCTTTTAGCATGCCTCCAGATTACATAGGTAAACCATTCTATCAAAAACTATTACTCAGTAAACCATTCTATCAAAAACTCAATGCAATGATAAATAACATGCAACAATGCAAATTTTATATTGAAATTTGTGCCGCAACAATGAGACTAAAGATTTGAGGGAATCAGCTATAACATTTTCACAAAAAGGATGAACCATCAATTGAGTATCATAGACATCAACTTCACAGAAGAAGAGTCTTCATTTTCCTCTAAATGAATCTACTTTATCCGTAGTTTCAAGTTATGCAAACACTTTGAAACACTTTGAAAGGCTCAACCAATTTACTACAAGCAACTCAGAGTAGACAAATATTGTGTTACGACAATACAAATCAGGACAGACCCATATTATGTTGGGCATCAGAATGCAAAACAATGTACAATACTAGAAGGTACTAGTCAACTTAAAGTCTAGAACTAAATACAAAGGGGAAAAAATTGAGTGTTCTGTTGTGACGTCTTACCACCACGTAGACCACCATAGACAAATATCAGGTCACCAATAGCAGCGGCAGCATGCCTACAACGTCTCGTCAGTTCAACTGCAGCATCTCCACCAGCAGCATCAGCACTGTATCTGCCTGTCCTGGGAGTGGTAACAACAGACTTTGTATCACACCAGACTCCTGCCGCAGTATCCAGAACTACACACACAAACATGACAAATCTGAGAAAAAGACTTAAGTGTAGATTTCGTACACCAACAATTTCAACACATTTGCTGGATTACAGGGAAAAAGAAAATAAAGGAAATACCCGCAACACTTGATGAGTCCTCCACCATGCGTCCACCACCAAGTGCACCACCAGACACATGGAGCCTTGCATTTAACAAAACCTACAGGAGCATAGCACATCTCAATGACTGGTTTCTAGATACCAAACAGGAGGGGGGGAAATGTCAACTAACAGTGGGGTCTTTTTCTTTTCTTTTCTTTTTTTTTTTTTTTTGGTTGGGAGTTTAAAAGAAAAACTCACCGCTGCATGTTGATATCTAGGAGATGGTGAGACACCAGGAGCAATTGCCCATTCCCACCGACCATCTCTATGTTTTGCAAGTCCATATGCACTGGCCAGTGGCTGAAAAAATCATTAAGAGAGGATGTAACAAGTCAAACATGTATGACAATGGAAGAGGTGTATCTTGACCTTGATAGGGAGAAGGAATCATATAGACAAAATTGTACAATAATATTCACAGCAAATACAGCAGTATTCAAGACAAACATGCTAGCATGAACCTCTACACACACACACACAACTAACTATATATGCATGGATTAGACATCATCCTAATAAAAATTTAAGTAATCTTATAAGAAAGAGAACAAAACTTAATGCCCAAAAAAAAAAAGAAGAGATTCTTCTTTTTGATGTTTAAACCATGTATTAGACTAAATTTAACAACAACCAAACCAAGCTCTCCATTTGCATACTCCTCATATGCTTATACACAACAAGTGTAAAAAAAAGCACTCGAGGCATGTCTTAGACTCTGATACGCAAGTCTTTGGGGAGTGTTACCCAAAAATCAAAACTTTTATGCGTTTTTCCTAAGCCTTGCTTGAGGCAACCTCAATAACACCTTTTAAACTTTTGATGAAATTCATGAAAGTAAAGAGTGCCACCCATAATGGAAGCTCTTAAACGTTCAATGACTAGACACCATCAAAGTAGATATGGAACACTGCCAAATTAACCACTTGTAGACAAACTAAAATGAAAAATAGTAAACCGTCCCAAGTTCTGCTCCTTAAAAACAAACCAGAAGACAGGAAAAGGCAGATTGTTCAACAAGTACAACTCCTGGCTCCCCAAGGAAGGAAACCAACAACCAACTTTAGGGGAGAAAACATATAAAACACAAAGAAAATCATCAATTGTCCTGAGAAAAGTAGACTACTTACAGATAAGCTAGCTCAAGTACATGGCTTATAATATATCAACCAATTGAAACTATTGTTCATGCAAAAAAATATATCTTACCACACTGTTAGCATCCCTCCCTCCACAAAGCAGAAGAAGGCCATCAGAACGTGCACTTGCTGTTGCATACCTACTCAAAGCAAGAGGAACAAATGATTGATCAACTAAAATTTTTTTAAATATATGGCTACTGGTCTGGGCAAGAGAAATTTACATGCACGGAGGTGGACCTTCTCCTTCTGGTTCCAATTTCCGCCATTCATATGGCTTGGCAGCTGTGTCCAGGGCCCATACATCAGCCAAAGGACGCTTTCCTAGAATCATACATCAAATTATTGCTTAACACCAGAAAATGGAAAACATACTCGAGCACACTAAATAAAGCAGATATCAAGTGACTCACCATCATTCCCACCAATTGCCATCAGATATCTTTGCCCCACCAAAGCCATAACATGCCCATAACGTGGCCCTGGTCCAGGACCTTGGACCACAACCCTAAAGGGATATTGATGTTGCTTTAATAGATGTATGACAAAAATACATAATTGTACATCCTTACATTTATGTGAAAGTGCTTCTATAAATAAATGGGCAAGGACAATTTTGCGGAATCTAACCTATGCCATCGTGGTCGTTGTTGTGTGAGATCAAGAACATGGAGGTCCTCAGCAGACAAACCAGCTGGACCAATTCCACCCTGTGTTGGATTGAAAGATAACAGGGCGCAGTTACTATTTACTAACTAAATGAAAGAAGAAAAAGTAGCCAAAGCACTAAAAAGGATAAACTGTTGAATTATTGATATGTCCTCCAACCTGAATAACTACCATAGTACCCACAGCAGTTGCCACATGTGCTGCCCTTGGAGTGGGAGGTTCTCCAAAGGGTGTAATCCTGCAAAAGAAAGCTCATTAAAGCATAATAGAACTACATAACAAGCACACAAAAAAAATGCATAACCTCAAAAGTATTGCTGCTAGCTGATAAGTGGTTACTGGTCTGGGCTTACCTAGACCATTTATTTGTCAACACATCATAGCAGTGCACATCAGCAGTGGCCCCCGCTAACCCTACAATCCAACACAACCTTGAGGATCACAAAGGTTTAAAGTGTAAAACATTTCCATTCTAAAAATGACATAAAATTAACAGTATCATTCTTCATTTTACAAAGATTCATCCATGTTGGGTAGCAAATATCAGATATAACCCCCTCCCCCCCCCCCCCCCCCCCCACAACACAAAAAAAAAAAAAAAAAAAAAAAAAAAAAAAAAAAAAAAAAAAAAAAAAAAAAAAAACACACACACACATCTATGTGTGCATCTCTTATTCGGTGGGCATACCTGTGCTGCATTCATACCAAATCAATTACATATCTAAGGTTGAGAATTGGATAGTTGAGCTTTTCAACAAAGTTGGGGTTGTTTACATCACAAACGAAGCATAAAGAACAATGACATAAAATACTTGAACAAAGCAAAAACCAAAGTAACTTCACTTACTAGGGTTCAACTGAACCCACATTTAAATGCCATTTGAATCAGATGGACTTCAAAATACATAAAAGGGAAAAAACAAAACCAACACATGCAACAAGAATTCAGCATTATTACGGTTACTATGGCATTGGCACCTCAACATCAAGATTTACAAAGATTCCAGTTACATTCATTAAGAGCATACCCATGTTATAAAAATATAAAATTGCACTCAAATAACTTGAACCGAAACATATCTATCTAGGGTTTCTACAGAGGCAAGAATGAACACCCAAAAAACCAGAAACACAAGACATCAACTTAAACTGAAACGTATCTACGGTTCTTCTACATAGGCAAAAATGAAAACCCAAAAATCATAAAATACAATAAATTGGAAAATTGGCAAAAAAAGGGTTAAACCAATAACCAAACACATACTTATTCCAGCACTTCCAGCCGAAGATGGAGTCCCTGGAGCTGCAGAATTGCCCTCAAGAGCAGTGGCTCCTCCAAAAAGAATCAGCCTCGGTCCAATGTAACCCGTCGTCCCTTCCTCCCCAACTGCAGCCACAGCCGTTAAGGTGTGCCCGCACCTCGGCCCCGGCCCATCTTCCTTCTTCTCTAAGATTGCGTTCACCACAGAGTACGTCGGAGCAGTCCTCGGCCCGGCCACGGGGCTCTGCTGCGCCTGAGCCGGCGGCGGAGGTGGCTGAGGCGGCGGTGGCTCCGCCGGAGATCCAGAAGTCACGGCCGCCGGAGCCTGCTCGACCTGTTCAGACGTCGGGCCGTTGTTGTTGGGGCCTGTTGAATCGTGATCGGTCTCTGACGCCATTGACGAATCAACATCCATATCTCGAACCCTTGGTTTTTTACCTTGGTGTCTAGATCGGAGCTCCAATTCTCACCGATTCGCATTTATGATCAACATATTGAAATCCAATTATTGCCGGGAAGGCAATACCTAGAATTGGAAACCCTAGCTTGGATCGTTCGATTCAATTCAAATTTTGAAAAAATACGGGAAAAATTTTATACGAGTGAGAGAAAGTTTAGGTTTTGAATTTGCTTTTTTTCTCTTTTTTCCTTTCTCTGAACCCTCGAGGCGGTCGAGAAAGAGAAACGGGACGGAGGAGAAAATCTAAAAAGCCAGGAGAGAGAGACCACCCAAACCAAAGTGTACCCAATCCCTTGCTTTCTCTCTCTAAACTGATTTTCTGTTTTTCTCTCTAAATATTTTTTAATTATTTTACTACATTTTATTTATATAAAATTAAATAAATAAAATATAATTAGCAATCATTTTTTTAAAATGTTTACATTACTTTTAAAATATTAATATTGGACAAAAATATAATGTTAAAACATATAAAGAATTATTAAGTTCTTATAAGTATTAATTTAACTTACTAGTTTGCTAATATTCTATCTGTAAACAAAAATTAGAGTAAAAAATCTTATTAATCACATTTTATTATTATTTAAAACAAAAAAAAAATGTTCATAGATTATTTTTGTTATTTAAAAAAAAATTAATGTGTTAAAGGGCCTTAATCAAACCTAGATTAGATTTGGTATATATCTGATCTTTGTCACGTACCTAAAACAAAAAGATCCTTGTCTGACTGAAAAAAGCTTCACTAATTCTCAATTTTTTTCTTTCTTGGCTTCATCTCAATTAAAAAGATTGGTGGAGTGAAGACACGTATTAAAAAAAATCGGTGAAATTGATAAAGTAAATGTAATTAATTACTACTCGATTCTCAAACCAAGTTTTGAAATAATTGGCTAAATTACAGATTTGATAAAAACAAAATTCAATCCCTCCTAATCTTGAATCAATCTAAATATCAAATAAGATACACAATTTGAATAGATTAATAATCTCCGGATTATAATTTTTAAAATACCAATCCAATCAATCCATTCTATTCTATCCAAACAAGCATAACCTAACTCTCAACCATATCTGAAAAACACTGGGATTATCCTGCAAAAAACAACTTCAAAAAAGAGCCCTATTAAACTTCCCCTTGATTTTTAACTTTCTCTATTTGTAATACAAATATAAACAAAACTAAAACTTTTCTTTCACACTCATCTCATAAGAAAGCTACAAATGAATGCTAGTTCAACATAGTTCCATCAAATAAAACAATCCCTATTTACAACAATTTTTTTCTGTTTCAGGCACACTGTATTCTCCAATAATCCCTTTCTGAGGTTGGACAGCGAGCATTCTTCACAACTTTCAAGACACCAACAAACACATGCCATGACAGAAAGACACAGCAGCTCAGAAACCGAAATTAAAAGTAAATATACCACCAATTAAATAAATGATGACAATAATAACAGATTACAACAGCGCTAATCAAATCCTGTGTTTTTTCTTATTTCCCCGACAAACCTATCTCCTCAACTCTACACCATGAGGACACCACCAGAAAAGACAGAAACCAAAGCAACGAAATGCATCTCAATTGCAAGAAGGGTCCGGAATGTACAAGGTGAAAAGGCAGCACTTTCGTGGAGAAAGATCATCCGTGAGAGTCTTGAAGCTACAGATTGACAGTCTGTGAAACAGTTTTTGTCAGATTTATGTCATTTCCATTGTACTTGGATTTATCTCTCAAAGGCTTCTGTGCAGTAGGTGTTCTTTTTAGAGCAGTTCTACCAGGTGGCTTTGTAGTTTGAGCCCCAAGCCCTTGCCCTGGTCAAATAACCAAGAAATAATCAAAAGGGTGTAGAAAAAATCCTATATAGATAAGAAACGAAGAGAAATTCACAAATAGGAAAGGCTTTAAACTCGAGCTTTTACCAAACCCTAGTCATTTTTTTAAGAATAATATTATATGTACCAACTAATGTACTAACTAATGTACTAACTAATATACTAACAGATGATATGGTATAATTTAAGAAGTTTTAGGTATTTGTAATTTATATAATAGGTGAAGTCCGTAATAATGGCATAACTAGTTGGTACACTAGTGTTTTTGACTTATTTCCCAAACCCAAGTTGTTTCTGAAATTGTGTTTTCGAAACACAACTTTAAATTGAAGTCGCGTTCGATACACAATTTAAAAAATAAAATAAAATTGAACAGAGTCTAAATGTTTCATACTTCCATAGTTGGCTTACAGACAATGGTGTAAGAGGTGAAACCTCTCAGAAACAAGGCACAGCTATTTGTTGGCTAATCTACTCAATGGATATGCATCAACATCTAGCATGCACAACTGAGGATCTACTGGGTGTACTAGGACTATGACAACCAGAAAATGATTCCTACGCTAAGCCAGCCAAAGAAGAGCACAACACAATAATCTCTAGCAATCCTTTTGAGTAAAGGACAGCTTCAGTGAGCATAACCATGCAAGAGGGAGAGAGAGAGAGAAATTCACCGCTATTAGGGAGAGAGAATCGCGTCTTTGCCTGCCTATCTGAAAGAGTAGATCTCTCTTTAGGATTGCTGTGGGATCTTGACGCAATACCAGGTCTTGAGCCAGCTTCTTCAACCAAATCTTCAAGAGGTGGCTTAGATTTTTGCTTCATAAACAGTGTAGTAGTTGCCTCTTGTGTACTTGTGAACTTGTTGGGTGACGAACTAAAGCCGTCCAAATGAGACAGACCCATTTTGCGATTTGACAGGTTTGGCTGAAGGTTTGAAGAAATGGGTTTCTTGCCAGCAGATTTTAACAGGGTTTTAGTTCCATTCTTTTCTTCAGCTGATTCATTCTCATGAATCATCACTCCATCTTTAATATTACTGTCAAGAAAGCGGTTTTCCCATGGACGAACAGCCATCCATCTCTCCAACCAGTTCCAGCCCCAGTAGTTTTTATCTGGTTCAAACCCAGAGGGAGCTGCCTGCTGCCTCGATCCCGCTTGCCACTACAGAATATATATAGAGAGATCCTATCTTTGAGCCAGCTGTAGATATAGTAAATAAAAAACCCTACAAAGCATGTCTAATCAGCACTACCCCACAAATTTAGTATCAATGCTAGAATTTTTATAGGCACAACATTCATTCTTCAAGATGTGAAGGTAGATAATAACACCGGAAACCATATCAGCCGGAACACCTCCCAAAAGTCTTCTTTTACCAAAACTTTTAATTGCTACAAAGCCGGTCATAATTTTCCTAGGCATCATTTCAAAGTTTTGAATTATATATGGATGAATTGTTACACACTTCACATTTTTAACTGAAATTTTCCAAATTTCTCAATACCACCTTTTTTCAACCTATAGATACATAATGTAATCAAAAGAAATTTTAGGGCACAACATATCCAGCAATACTAAAACTTTAAAAATACACCCCAAAAAAACACACACACACACACAAAAAATAAATAAAAAATAATAATAATTAATATAACGTTCAATGTTGAAACACTAGCCATGGGGTCCCACAGTTTCTTCGTCAAGTCAAAAGGTTTAACAAGAAGAATACCCAAAGATCCCACAAGTCATGAATGAAAGCAAGTCACATAATAAATAAATGAACTCTAATGACTCATCATAACTTACAACTTGAGATCAATGGTAAGAATCAAATGCCAAAATGCACCCCTTTTAAAGGCCATGACAGCACTTAATCACTCAGCCACCAGGACTTCAGCCTGCACCCTTTTTAAATGACACGACAGCGCTTAATCACTCAGCTACCAGGACTTCAGCCTGACCACAATCTAATAAACTAAACTTGTCTACAACATTTTCTCAGGACATCCAAGAATCATTTCAGCACCAATCCAAAATCATTATCAAGAACATGAATCAATTATAAAGAAGGCCAGGACAAGAGATTTTCAAGAATGTTTTATGGTGTTGGGATAATTATGCAACATCAGACACATCATGGCAAATGTATGGCAAATGTAGAGTTTAATATGAGTGAAAGTTTCAGAAACAGCATATACAAAATAATATGATATCTTAAAACCTAGTAACATATTTCAGAGAAAAGTCAGACAAAAATTCAAGGCTGTTGAAAAGCAGATGAGCTAACATCTATATGTTTCCCTTTGTCCTAATCCTGATCTGGACCCCTCTTCACGATATAAATGTCCAAATCTTCTCTAGTTAGAATCATAATTTTCTACTTGATGTCCTTGGAAGAGGCTGTTGCATTCTTACCTGGTGAGCCAAAGCATACGCCATAGCCCTCTCACGCTTGGCTGCTGCTTCCTGCCTCTTTAACAACTTGGTTTGAATTTCTTCAACAGATCCTACACCATCACACCACCCTTCCTGCGCCAAAAACAGAAGCAACATGTAACACTCAACAAGTGGAAGAAGAAAGTGATACATTTACATATATATATATATATTTGGCAACAAAGAAAATTTGTCATTTCAAGTACAGCACCGTTTCCACAAGTAAATTATTCATATTAAACACATTCCAAAGTTCCCTGCTGCAAATGGGATTTTTAAACAAGCACAGGTTCACAAAGGTGTCTTTAGACAATTTAAACGCATATATTTTCTGATCCTGACTCTTCTGTTTCAGCTACCTCCAGTTTATCCCTATTCCACACATCAATGACATCAGATTCCAAACATCAATGACATCAGACTCGGTTCATTGTACGTAAATTTTTAAAAATCACGGTATGAGCCTTATGCAACCACCAATTATTGTCATATTATTAAAAAGAGAAAAAAAATATTTCATTGAGAGAAACCCGAGGATGCTTACCTCAATTTCTCGAACACGAGCCTCATGTTCAAGTTGTTGCTGAAGTTTTTGTTGGACTGTTTGACTTTCCAATGCCAAACGAACACGCCGAGCTCGAACACGAGCCTGAACCCTTACTAGAGCTTGCATACAACGAAGAGTTATTGCTGCTTGCTTCCTCACAGCGTGGCCCCTAACAAGGGCTTGAAGTCTTACCAAACCTTTCAAAGCTCGTAAGGCTCGCCTAGCCTGCCATTTATCACCAAAATATTTCAAGTGATCTCCAAATTATAAAAATGAAGTCCCAAGTAGGATTTTTAAAACATATATGTTGTATATAGTTATAGTTATCGAGATGCATTACATGCAGAAACTCATTATATCGAACTTGCATTGTAGAGATAAAACATTTCAAGGAAAAATATAGATCACTCAAGTTTCAGTGCAAAATTGGCATTTAAGGATTGAGGAAGATTTGTGATTGCAGCCAATACGTACAGGGTTCAATGAGTCAAATATTCAAGTTACCTAGTAAAGATCCGACTTCATGGAGTTTTGAGCAGTCTCTTTAGGCTGAATCTCATGAGTAGTAGCGAAGGAACTCGTAGCAAATTTGTCAGGCTTAAAGAATTTTTGATCCTCAGATAAGTACTCTGAGTTTGTCCAATTTTCGTAAATGATTCAAGCATCTAAATATATTATGTAGTCTAAAGTTATTTTTTAGTCAAGGGCCCGAATATCAATCTATTGGAAGGCAATGCGTTTCCAACAACATTAGACAAACATGGTAAAATTTCATTAGCCTGTTGATGGATATCTCCAAATAAATTTCTTTCCTTGTTTGCTTCTCTTTTTCTCAAATTAATCTCTCCTTGGGTAGTCCATAAAACCAAAATGTCCCATTTGGTCAGCAAGACATCATTGGACAAAATATCCAAAGAAAACAATAAGCATGTGGAAACCATGAAGGTAAAGAGCTAAGCATCACATGCTTAAGCTAATAAATAGAAAATAATTCCTCCTTGAAAACAACTATTATACTCAACAAGAGAAAATAGAAAAAGGTATGGTTTAAAGAGATGTTGAGCTCTGGAACACCTTTCTTCTGAAAATGCCTGAAATTTAGTGTGTAATTGGGTGAGCTAAAAAACTGAAAGAAAAAAATTTAGTACCAAAAATCCTCGAAAAGCTGTTTGGATTCGGGTGGCAGCCCATTCTTCTCTCAAATTCTGTTGAATTTTAGCTGCATCCTCCACTTGAAGCGAGATAGAAGGGGACCCAGCAGCATCAGGCATTGAACGGATGTCTGCATCTACAAAGGGTGGAGCAGCATTGTGACTGAAATCGTCTTGAAGTATGTCGGCATCAATCTCGACTGAATGCTTTCTCCGGTGCCGGAACTTTCCAGTTCTCTGCAATGTCTAGAAAATATGAGTTTCCAACTGTTTCACATTTGACAATCTCTGGAACTAAATAGGCATTTTTAACAAGTTTTTTGTAGTCAAAATAGCTACCCACATTTTCATCCCTTTCTGAAGACTCTGACTTCTCTGATTTCTTAAAACCAACCAATGCTTTAATCCATTTTCCTGAGACACCCATGATGATGTCGCTTTAGCTCTAACAACTTTGGACCTATCACAAAAAAGTCTTCAAAAACTCAGTACATGACCTGTGCTTCCCATACATAACCCCACTTAGCAGCCAGAGAGAAAAACTTGCAAAGACAATCAGAGCAAGGACAAATAATTAAGCTTCATGATAGTTAGCACCCTAAGCTTCTTGTGAAACAAACTGATTAAAGCCTAGAGAAGAAGAAAGAAAAGAAAAACTGTAGTAGCATTTAACTTAGAAGAAGGATATGAAATCTGAGCTTGTAAGACATGGACACTTGGGGTGTTAGCCTGACTGGGGTATAAAACCAGCACGAATGATTCAAGCACAACTTCATAACAATGTTTAAGCCACAAAGACCATTTATTATGAGCAGTTTTTAGAACTGGCCACATATCTTCCCATGAATGGCTAGTTTTTACACAAAAATCAAAATAAATAGATGATCCTGGACATGCTGGGTAGAAGTCTCCCTAAGTATCAAAACCCCCCTTGTTCTTTGCCCTCTCCTACCCCCCTCAACTAATTAATTACAGAAGAAATACAAAGGGAAGGGTTCCTTGATCAGGCTTGATTATTCCTCTCCCTTTTCACCTTTGAAAACCATTTTTCACCAATTTAATAGAGATGTTTGATGAATTGGCACTGTTGCACTTAGATGGGATTTCTCTTGGTGTTTAAGGGCTGATTCGAATATCATTTGCTTTCCTTCAGGGAGGTTGTTTGGTGTGCATATCTCTAGATCTATGCGAATTTTTTCCATCTTGATTGATGACTTGGGTTCGATGGATCTTCCTACCTTTTATTACCTACTCTAACAATCAAGAGGCTCCCTCCATGTCTAGCATAAACAATTTCTTGGTGTCTTCAGAGTGGGAAAAGTATTTATGCTTAAGTGATTCAATGCGTTTTACCTAGGCCAATGTTGGACCACTTCCTCATAATACCATGGTTCCCATCAACCGCGTAATCGTCCTCATCTTGAAATGTTAGATCGTGGGGGTATCAAGTGAAGGAGATCTCTCAAATTCAAAAACATGTGGCTTCAAGTTGAAGTGTTCGTGAGAAGGTAGGCGGATGGTGGAAAGGTTATGAGATGGAGGGCAAGCTAAAATTGATGCTTTTGAAGCAAGACTTGAAGAGGTGGAATAAAGGAGGGTTTAGAAATTTGGAAGTGTAGATGGCGCAGGTGTTGGAAGAGCTTCGAGATTTGGATTAGCTAGAAGGAAGGAGGATGTCAGAGGTCGAGTAGCATCAATAGGACAATAAGGAGTTTCTAAAGATTGCAAAGTTGGAGACTAGAACACCCGCTTCTTTCACAAGATAGCAAATGCTCATAGACAATGCATCTTTATTGAGAATATACGAATTGGAGACAGGCTTTTGTCGTTAGAGGATGATATTTCGAATGGTATAGTCAGCTTCTATTAGGAGTTGTATTCTAAGTTGAGGAGATGGTGGCCTAGACCTGACAAAATGGTTTTCAGTCAATTATCTTTCAAGGAGGGTAGTTAACTAGAACGCTTTCTCTCAAAGGAAGAGGTTCTTTCTTGCAGCCTTGAAACCCTTAATGGCGAATAAGGCACCAAGCCAATGTGGGAAACAATAGTATCCTTCTTGAAAATGGTGATAAAATTCTTGAAGCCAAGTTGTATAATTGACAAAAGACAACAAATATGTGCACCATCCAATGCCAAAATGGCAAGAGAAAAAGAAACTTCAATACCTTAAATTTCTTGGTAAAGCCAATTTGGAACAATATTGAGAGAGAACCCTTTTTAAAATTAAGATTTGAAGTATGTGTATCCTGGGAAATAGGACAGATTTTTTGTTTAAATTATTATTAATATTTTTGACCACCAACTACATCAAACTGGTAACCATTAAAAGGCAAAAGACACAACAACAGCCAGATTTAAAGTCCTCGTTGCACTCAACGCTCACAAAAAGGCAGAAGAAGAAACATTTGGGCAGGTGTGTCAAAGAACTCCGCCATGGACCATACAAGTCCAAATGTTGGAAGCACGGCCATCAACATATATGACACAAAATCAAGATACATTCATTTATAGCGAGGAAAAATTATGTTCAAAACCCGCATGCAACTCAAACTTTGATTCAACAAATAAAAAATCTTAATATAATAAGGTCCATGAAGTACAAATCTTGAAACTTTAAACAACTTCCCCAAATATGTATGGAAAATGTTTGAGACCCCTAAGAAGTCTCCCCCAAATTGACCCACAATAACATAAGTTAGGTATCAATTTTTGATCTGTCACAAAATCAGACCCAACTCCCTTACACATCATTGTAGTTAATTATGAGACTTAAATTGAAGTAATCCTAGTTTGATGATGATAAATTTATTAATTCAAACAGCTTATAAAACTAGTAACCCTGGTTCTAAGCAAAGCCAAGTTAAATGCTTACTAAATCCCACAAACCCATACTTGATTGAAGCACCAAGATAAGTAAATTCAGTAAAGAAAAGGCCCAATTGAGTGCATAAACAACGCAGATCGATACAGATCATGAAATAGAAACCGACAATACACAGAAATAGTTACATAATCACAGTGACGAACAGACACACACACACGTACATATATATATAGTTGAAAGAGTATATATTATAGTGGTGAATTGACCTGGAATTTGAGAGGCATTGATGAAAGAGAAGAAAAGTGAGAGAGCGCCCTTTTGTTTGTATGGTGGATCTCTATCAATCAGTCAACAAATAGTCAATTTGAGAGCTTTGAAGATCGAATTCGAATTGATTTTGATATCAAATTCTCTCTCTCTCTCTCTCTCTCACACACACACACACACATCAAATAAAGGGATTGGATTGGTTACCCACTGAAATGATAAAAGCCAGAGCAGACGACAGAGGTTGGTGGTGGACTGGACTAACGTACGCCGGGGGTGGGTTGAGAGTAGAGACGTACGTCGTCGTTTGGTGTGGACGTGTCGCTCTCACGAATGAAACCAAGAGTCAATCACGGGATTTTTTATGATTGTTATCGTAATCGGATCGTACCCCACCGGTTCGATCCCCAGTGCGGTCTTAGCGTCCAGTTATGGGTTGGGTTAGGTGGCAGTGACCACCAGGCGCATTTTAGCATTCACCTCTCTCAGAGAATAAACTGCTCCGGACTCATCGTATTCTACTGCATGCGACCACCGGGCCCAATTTTTGGTTTAAATAATGTGACCCTCAATCATATTTTAGATTAATTACACTAAAATCCATTCGTGGCTGGTTTTGACACCACAAAAAATAACTAGTTTATTTAGAGTTATTGATTTTTTTGAATCATCTTTTTGTTTTTTTCATATCTTTTTTTGTAATAAGTAAAAAAATCATATCTGTTATTAGTGAATATCATTTTAAGGATAATTATGAATAAATAAGTCAAAAAGTAATATTCATTAGAGTATCTCCAATGATGAACTATTTTTTTCATCAAATCTAATAAAAAAAAAAAAAACTCTTTCTTTAATTTGATACGAGTTGCTCCAACGATAAACACTGTTGCTTGCATAAAATACCTGAACACGTCCGGTGGGATATCCGGCCGGACGACCGACCGATTGACCAATTACGCCACTGAATTTTTTTTTTCCCCCTCCATTTATGTTTCGATTTTGTTTCCCTTTAAGAGCTTCCCTGAGCTTGTGCTCTTGCAATTTCCTCAAAAATGATAGATTTCCCTTGATTTATTCTGTTGAATGGTTAGACCCATCTCTTTTTCTGGTCTTTTTATCCATGATCAGAGCAACACAGTGACAAATTGGCTTCTGTAGTAAAAGACGTATTGAAAGACCCATCACTTCTTCTACTCTTCTCAATTCTCTCTGATCTTTGACCAGATCAAATAGAAACCCTAGATTTGACTACCTTAGAAAATCTAGTAGCTGAGGATTCAAGCCAGATTAAGACAGCAAAATTGAAACCCAGAAATGTAAGAAAAAAAAAAGTAAAAAAAGAAAAAGAAGAGGATAAAATCTATCCACAAATTTTAGGGTTCAGTTAGTGAGCTAGTGGACCAGTTCAACATTTTGGAAAAGTGACAAAAAAAAAAGGATTAGAGAAAAAGTTAAAAAAGAAAAAAAGAGAGAGAGAGACTCAAATTATAGAGAAATTCAAGACCCAAGATTCAAAAGATTCATGGAATTACAAAACTCCAAACCCATTGAAATTTGAAAGTCAAAACATTACCATCGAATTGGGAAAAAACCCAATACAAAGATGAAATCAAAGCCTCAAACCTTGGAACCCAAAGATCTCAAAAAGATTGGCAAAGAAAAGAACAACAGCAAATTGATTCAATGAAATGTAGCAAAAAAAGAGTTCAGAAAAACAAGAAACCGACTTGAATCCCCTATTCAAAAAGAGCTCCAAGCTTTCTCTTTATTCTATCTCTAACTTTTCTGCAACCCAATTAAATGCAAAGCCTCCACATACAATGCCTTAGTTTTGTGTGTCCACCAGAGAGAGAGAAGAGTCAAAACTTGAAAGTAGACAAATGGCTATGTTCTAAGAATTGTTTAGTTAGCCGGATGACTGGTGAGACAACCGGCTAGACATCCGGCCGGTTGTCCGATGGGGCCACCTCCAACGTAAACGCACAGTATTTTGGTGAAATCTGCTCCAAGTTTTCATTTTGGTGACAGTTTTGGCTGATTCTTAATTTGATATCATTTTGGTGAAACCGTTGGAGAGATAAAAGTTTTACTTTTTCATCAAATTCAAATCTGGTGATGAATCTGATTCACCGTTGGAGATGGTCTTAAGGGTCATTCTATTTACACACTACATAAAGACTCAATACACATTACATAACTTTTCCTCTACACCCCACTAATTTTTACATAATACCAAAATAGCCCTATCTTTCCAAATTTTTAAACCTTAACCCTAACCATCGCCAGCCATCACTGCGTTCTGTTGGCGCCGTTCCCTCCCCAACCTCTCTCAACTTCCCACTGTTGTCACCTCTCCCCAGTCTCTCTCCCCCTCCCGTTGTTGTTTCCTCATTTCTAACCTCTATTTCCTTGCTTTACAGCCATTTTTCGTCGTCGATGCCTCATTCTGCCGCTGCAGCCCCCTCCCCTTCAATTGCAATCACTAGATCGCGATCTCTCTTCCACCTTTCATTTCTCTATCACTCTCACCTTCGATTTCTCTATCTCTCTCTTTCTCTCTCCCTCACAATCACGATCTCTCCCCATTGCCACTCACTCTTCAACCCTCTTCTCTTCCCTTCCAACTTTACCAACACATTGAAACCTTATAAAAAAAATATAAGAAGGCTGGAAAGGAGGTGTGGTGTAAGAGAATAAGGATGAAAAGCAACTGTTAAGGAAAAACAGTTAGGTTGGGGTGGCTCCAGCACTAGTGTTGGGTTGTGACTAGTGTATGTGTCGAAGGATGGTAGTTGGTGTGTAGAGTTTGTCCACAAAAGTAATTTAATTAAGGAATAAATTTGTAAACAAAAAAAATTTAAAAATAGTGTGAACTAAGAGATTTAGTGGTGTGTAAATAGAATTTTCCATTCATTAATAATAGTGAGGAGATTTTGACATAAATAACCATAATTTTTAAGGACAATTACAAGTAAGTTCCATGGACAGGACTGAAATATCAAAAAATCCTACTCACTTTCACTGATAACTTTATCGTTGTAAAAATATATATTTTTTAAATACAATTTAACTACTTACACTTCTCGCAACATATTTCAATGCAAACTAACATAAATTAATTTTATATTGTGCCAATGGAACACAATTAGGTTGTTAGAATCTCAAAGACAAAATAAAAATGACTTCCTGAATTACAAGTGCAGTCCAATAAACAACTTTCCAGATAATTTACATGTAAAACTGAGAAATAATAAAATTGGAAATTTCCAAAATTGCACATTAGCAGTCTGTTCATGCGAAAGTACTAGAGTTACAGCATCAGCATCAGTTATTTATAGGGTCCTCTCATTTGTACTTATACAAAAGGGGATTTAAGATCGGTGATATACGCCTAGAATTCGAATCTAAAATTCAACTCAATCGGCTTCTAGTTCAGCTCCAAACTGTTCCAATCGTTCAGCGTCAGCGCCCAAATCCCGGACCGCAGCGTGGTTGACAGATCCATCATCTATGCTGGCATGTATCTGCCTACCACCAAACCTAAATAGCATACAGAATTATGATCAGAAAGGTGAGGAAAATAAAATAATACATCTCAAAAATAAAAATAAATAAATCATCACAATATATCTGCAAATTACAAAAAAGATCAGTAAAGGTTGGTCCACTACTCACTTCCAATTCCACAAAGCAATGGCTTGAAATTCATGTTAATATGCATATTTTTGTGTAAATCCCAGTATTGGTCTCACTATATCCTAGAATATTGTCGGATTACGACATTTTGAACCAGGGTCACAAGGCCAACTAACACAGAGGCACTATTATTTCCCAAATACAGACCTAAAAAAAATTCTCAAAAGATCAGAACTATACCATCTTCCATTCATCAACTCTATGCACTTGTGGGCATCTTTGCTATCCTTAAATTTAACTAAAACAACACCCTGCGGGTGATTCTCGCACACCTGCAAACAAAACCAAATCAGAGCATAAATGGCCACACGATACATAATACAAGTAGAAGCTTCAATGTATAGTAAAAACGACACATCCCAAAAAAAACAGATTTGGATATGACTATAAACACAGTTATGCTGTGTAAAAATAAAAATAACACAGCTATGACGTAGCAAATAATAGGACATTAATACTGGGGAAAAATAAATTAATGAAGAAGAACAAATTAGTCAGCTCTATATTAACATACAGCAGGAAAAAAAGATATTCTGAAATTTGAATATGAATAGGTAAGCAAGCATTAATATGTGATAAACTTGCTACTTCCATTTAGGAAGAAGTTCTATTTGTGTTATATTATATCATATACTTCATCTTTAGCTCTCATGATGCAACTTTGATATCTACTTACAAACACATCATCTTCATCTTTAACTCTCATGATTGCTATTTTGCAGTCCACACACACACAGAGAGAGAATAAAGCAAGCTGTACTGCTTTGATTTTAAGGTTAATTCACTTTTCGCTCATCATGGAGAGGGCTGCTGGCAACAACCATCTCCTTCCTTCAATCTCTTCCTCAAAGATTTCCTGGTCTTCCTATAACCTCATGTCACTCCCTCTATAGTGAGCCCCTCAGGTGGATTCCTCCTTTTGCTCCTCAGCGTATAGGGTATTAGCAGCCTATTATCTCTCTAAGTTTCATGTCCATATAAAAATATACATATAATAGAAAACACTACACCTCAAACACATCCTAATAGGCCTAAACAATATTCCAGTGGAAGGGTGGAAATGCAAGAAATTAGTTGTGACTACTACTTTGTCTTCTATTTTGGATGGACAATAAAAAGATAGCAAAATTTGCCAATCTAGTCATGGCCAACCAACCAATAAATCCAGGCCAACTTAATGCCATCCTGCCACCAAGTGATAAGACTTGCAATAAGGTTGATCAAGCAAATGCCTCACCCTGCTTGGGTCAACATTAGAATTTTAATAACAAGGTTCTTGGTGGCCATTCCCCAATTTTAGACCCCAAAATTGAGGATGTTGGAGGGGTAGACTGCATATAGACCTACCCTTTAGCATAATTTGCACAAAGTATCTGCTCTTAAACTCAATCTCACATTTTCACGCTTAAAAGCTATGAAGTGCTACAGATGGGGGCGCATCCTTCCTCTAACCCATCCCCCCAATCCAATGAATTCAAGATTCAAATGAAAACTCTATTACAATAGAATAGATGGAGTATTTGTCAGCTGAAAATTGTTGAACCAATTAAAATTGGTAACACATCCGCATGTAGTGGGATAGAGTTGGGTTACATAGTAGTAAACCTCAACTCAAGGTTGAATTAGTCCCTTAATTGCCCTGTCAGCACTAGGATAAGCAAAGGGGCATTGCAAATCAGTGGGAAGAAGTGAAAATAATTGCAAAACATGGGTTTCAAGTGAGTCTGTGCACTAGTGAGTCAGTGGTATATGCTATGAAGCATGGGGACTTCGAAAAACATGCCGTAACCATACCGGGTACTTATTGGCATGTGGTATCCCGTATGGTACTTCTACATACGTACCGGATACACGAAACACGTACCCAAATTTTTTCTTCTTAATTTTTGGTGTACCCAGTCATACCTACTATATACTCAAGCCGTACCGTACCGTATCTCAGTTAAAACAATATTTTCTTCTACTACAGAGATAAAACTCCTTTCACTAGATTTTTTTTTTATTTTTAGTTTTATACTTAGCATGTTTTTAAAATCAAACTATGGTTTGTAAAATATATTGACATTTAATTTTGATTTATACCTTTACTTTTGACATTAAATATTAATTGTACGTTGAATCTTAACAAATTAAATCATTTAATTAATTTTTACATTACTCTAAATTAAAATAAATATTTTTTCACAAGCGTACCAAGTCGTACCTGTATCTTACTTTTTTTAGACTTTACCGTATCGACGTACCCATATCGTACCAATACCAGTACTCGTACCCGTACATGTGCTTCATAAGGTATATGCAAGTGGGTTTGTGCTAAGGTCAGTGGCCAGCCTTGCATCATAGCACAAACCCCACCAGCACATCCATATCTTTGCAATTACTTTTCACTTCTTCCCACTGAGTTGCAATTCCCCCTATAATTGAAGCAGCCCATATAGATCATCAGTCTGAAAGAGTATTAAGGCCACGTGTGAATGCTGTTGGAATTAGTGGGAATAAGTAACACTATGGGATAATGGATGGTATTTTTAATTAGTTGTATTATGTTTGGTTAGAGTATGATAGAGGATGAGATGAGCAAGAATGGTTATTTTTATTGCTGAATGGAGGGAGGGAGACAATCCCATGGCTTGGTATAAGTAGTACCCTGGGGGAGGTGGTATTACTTATTATACCACATTAATACCCCATATGGGGTATATCCCTCCAAAATCCAAAAAAACACACAGACACACGAAGCAAACAAGGAATTAGTAGACATGTGTGGCCCAAGCGTCAACCAACCCTCTAATACCTCCTCCAAATCCCTTAAACAAACATAGCCTAAATGAACAAAGTTCACCCAAAATCGCCATCTCGACTTCGTGTAAGACTCAAAGCAAGAAGCCCACACATGGACCTAAAACAACACTGAACAATAGGTCAGACAACAATTTATCCTTTTTTGCCATTATAATCAGGCTAATCACTAGGTCAACAAAATTTATACATATGCATAAAAAACAATAAAAAATACAATGAGATTACTTTTATAGAAAACCATGATGATTGCTACTACGGGGAATCGCACGCTCCACTGACAACCTCAATGATTTCTTCCATTTCAACTTTCATCTTTTTCAACTTCAGTTTACCAGGTAAAAAGACTTTAATAGGTTCTAGCTTTTCAGGCTATTTTTAGAAAAGATTATACACGTAAATCACATCTGACTTCCTATTATTATTAATTGGATCAGAAGAATGTTATTCCTTAAGTGAAAACCTGTTAACAATCATCAATTCACAGATTACTAAAACTTCCACTAGGGGCCTGAATATACTTGGAGGTGAGCATTAGGTTATGAATTATGACATGCATCTAAAAGCATAGATGAAGAAAAAACTAGATTATTTATTCATTCTTGTATAATGTTAAAATACCTTTATTGATTCTACCGGTCCAAGCTTCACACATTCCTCTTCAACATCAGCCTCTAAATTAGAACGAAGATTCTCATCAGACTGTAAACATTACAAGAATGTCAACTTACAGAGTTACAGCTTTATATAACGAAATGAAAATGATGGGCTTAGTAATTGAAAAGCTTGAAACCTATGAAGCATGAACACTCCATTTAGTTGCTGTAGTAGCAGTGTCCGATGTCAGACATAAACATGGCTCGGTTGTGCTGGTAATGTGGAGACACATGTCGGACATGCCACGAGGTGTGTAATTTTTTTATTATTTTTATCGGTGGACACATTGAGGGGCACTTCAAGGGCATGTCTTGTGCCTGGACATGCCAATGGTTATAATTTTACAAAGGTGATTTAGTGATCAAAATTCAAAATATAATATTTGGAAACAAGAGAGTGAAAATTGAAAGAAAAAATAAGTTCAATATGTTCGATGCCTCTAATTTGAGCCTTAAGATTCATCTGAGAGAGGCAAGGTGCATATCTCTTTAAGAGAACAGACCACAAATGATCAATCATCAGTGGCCACCTCCATCAACGATCCATCATCAATATACTCCACTTCAAACACCAAAGAACAGACCACAAATGCTTTGGACATTTACGATGTAATGGGCTTTTTTTTTTAATGATTGATAAAATAGTATTATGTATGTTTAATGATTTTAAATAATAGATTTGAGTAATTTTTTACGTTGAATTAAATTTCACAGTTTTGGCATTCTGTGAATAAAAATTAGCAAATAAGAGATTACATTTTTTTTTTTTCTTTCCATATCCCACTGGTTTAGAATAATTACCCTCATTTCTGTAGGAGTGAACATATAACGAAGAACAACAGTAGCTGAAATCAAGACCTTTGCATCATCACGGCCACCTAAACCATCAAAATGGGGAGGAAGAGGAAAAAGTTACATAAAACATCATACATCATATAACAAGTATAAGAAAACAAAACTTGAGAAGAGCAAAGGCTCAAGCAAATATATAAGTATTAGGAAAACAAAAGAAAAGATGATATAATAGAACATGAACTTATATATATATATATATATATTATAGAATGTAGCTATTTACTAGCTAACTACACAACACTTGCCTATAGTGTCTAAAAAATATTGCTGTAAGTATTTAATTTATAGACCTTCCTCCTGAGTCTATGTCTAATTTAGAACACTAATTCAATCAGCATAAATTCTTAATCAGTGTTTTAAAAAGCTCGAGGCGCATCGAGGCGCCAAGGTCACCTGGAGCCTAAGCGCCGAGGCGCGCGCCTCACCAAAGCGAGGCGCAAGTTATAGAAGTTAAGCAAAATATTAATATAGTACAATTTTCAACATAAGCAAATATTTAATATATATATTATTAATTTTTTAATAAGAAGAGAAGAGAAGAAGAAAAAAAATAATTAATTTTTTTAATATATATATATATTATTTTTTTTATTTATTATATTTTTTAAATAATGTGTTTCAATTATTTTTTATTTTATTTTATTTTATATACATGTGTTTATTTTTTTTATTACTATGTATAAATATATATTATATTTTATATATTATCTATAAGTATATTATATATTATATAATAGGTATTGTAGGTATTATATAATATTATATATATATGAATTAATTATGTTTTATATATTAGTTATAAGTATATTATATATTATATATTATATAATAGGTATTATATAATATATTATATATATATATATATATGAATCAAGAAGATAAAAGAGGAAGAGACAGAAGCGAGCGAGCGAGAGAGAGAGAGAGAGAGAGAGAGAGGGATCGCGATTGCGATCGCGAGAGAGAAGGCGACAGAGAGAGAGATCGCGATTGCGATCACGAGAGAGAGAGAGAGCAATCGTGGCCCTTCATCGTTGTCTTCTTCTTCTCCACTAGGGTTTTTTTTTTTTGTTTTTGCTCTTTTGACCTACGTTTTGATCAAATTTATTCCATGTGGGTATTCACACCAAAACCAGATGGGCTGTAGCAGTAGAAGAAACGCGAAGCGCCAAAAGCGCACGCCTCGAGCCTCAGAAAAAAGCGCACACCTCATCGCCTTAGCTGCGCCTTCTCTATGTCGCCTTGCCTCGCTATACATGAGGCGCAGAGCTGCGCCTCGCCTTGCCTTGAGCTTAGGCGCGCTTTTCAAAACACTGTTCTTAATGATGAGCCCACTTATTTCTATGGCCCAAAATATCCATACACAAATCATCTTCCAAGTGAAAAAATGCGCGTCCTAAATTCAATGTCACTCATCCAAGCATAAGTTAATGCATTGTGGTATATTAAAAAATATGAAACAAGTTAGCTGCTCATATATAAAATAGGTGCTCATGACATAAGTCAAAAACGTTCAAGAAATCACATAAAATTCAATTTATAAAAAGGGGGAAATTCCCCTTGCTAAAATTGAACTGGCATGCAGCATAAAAGACAAGATGTTCTTTATTTTATTTTTTGATCAGCAAGACAAAATGTTCTTTATGTTCATACTGACTAGGATTTTTAACTGTGATAAGAACTCACCCCAGCCAAGCATCTTTTGTTCAACCTTTTGAAGTTTCTTCTTCTTTCTCTTGTCTGTTTGTTTTGCTATGAATTTATCCCCTGGAGAAGTGGTGCAATGGCAACTCATCAGCACAAATGACAAGCCTCCACACAAGTTAAGACCAGTCTTTTATCCAGAACACACAAATGTTTTTGCATATCATAAATGGTAAGTACGCAACTGGACCAAAAAAAAATCTTAGGCCTCGTTTGGCAAGTGACTTTTTTAGCCAAAAAGCCAAAAAGTCAAAAAGTCACTAAAAAAATTAAAAAACCAACAACCTATACCAAAAAGTCAAAGATTCACTTTTCTCTTTACTTTTTGCACATCTTTTCGTAAAAAACCAAAAAATTACCCCAAACATACTAGTTTTTTTTACATCATATTTTAGCCAAAAAACCAAAAAGTTACTAAAAAAGTCTTGATTAATCACCCAGAAATAGAAGCCCACACATGTTACCTTTCTGCTCAAATTTAGCTCGGCTAACTGACATAGGAATTTTTCCACCTGGCCGAAAAGGTGCCCCGTCCAAAATTTGAATCGCTAGATCAACTGAAGGTTCCTAATACATAGGTAGACACAATCAAAGACAACAAATAAGGATATGACAGTGTGAATATGTCACATGCAGCACTCTAAGGCAATGGCAGCATTACCTTCAGATAAGAAACAAGTGCATCCCCCTTCTTTCTTCCTGTCTCTTTGTCAACATAGATCTTCACACGAGGCTTTTTGGTTTCAGGGTCCTAAAAGTTTCAATGATGTAAATATTTAGATTTACTTTTTACTCTATGAATGTGAAAATGACACACTATGTTTAGGGTTTAGGGTTTAGAACACTTTCATCAACATCACCATTCACAACCAAACCATTCGCAAATATGCAACATAATTCAATAATTCAATTATTTTGGGTCACGGGGACTGTGTCTCCAGATTTGTTTGCTTTTGTGGATTTCATAGAATATAGATGTTCTTCGTGTTTAGGTTTTGGATTTCATTGATAATCTCAGCTTATTCTTTGCATTGTCTTGATACTCGTTCATTTGTTAATAAAATTATCTTTATTTATAAAAAGAAAACATAATTCAATTATTTTATTCTCCATTGTTAGGAAGAAAAATGTTTTAACTAAAACCAATTCGGCTGTAAAACAATTTTAGAGCTAAACTTGTAGTGCTGGAAGACTGAGCAACTAAATTTGTAAAATTGTATAAAAGGCTGAATCTTTCAATTCAGATTAAAATTTGAAAGCACCTTACACTGAACATGATCTGTACTATTCAGTAAAAAATCATGTCTCTTTGACTAAAAATTCAAACCCTTTTTAAGTGAAATTATTTTATATAAGGAGTGTGTGCTCCAACAAACTTAAAAAGCAACCACTAAAACTATCAATTTTCATCACTTAGGTTATCAAATAACCCCTTAAGGCTCTTCTACTCACTACTACATATATAATACATACTTTTCGTATCATTAATTATTGTCACCCAAAAAAATATATGGAACTAATCTGTCAAGTGCTAATCCATATAATGGTTTAATATGGATGTGTCAAATTCTATGCCAGTGCAGCAATTCAATACGTGTATACAAGTTTTGAAGAATTATCCACAGACTTCACTCTTTCAGTTTAAATTGATTTTCACCTATTCAAATAATCTGTAGTCATATACCCACTAAAAGACAGGAAAAGGTGAAAAATGAGACATGGAAAAAAAAGGATGATTTAACCAATCATGACATCCCATTCATGGGTTGCTGACAATAATTGGACACAATATGAGCTGAGTGCAAGCTCATCGCCTCATAGTAAGTTCAGGAACTTAAACCATGACTTTATTGCCAAAAATTTCTTGCAGTCCAAGAGAAAGAAAGAAAGAGATGAAAGAAAGAAAAATAAAACAGTGTTAAAGTGTAGATTTCCAACCTCCTTTATTATCCCACATTTGGAAAAGACTTCCACAACCTGCAAGGAATTCAAAATTAGTGTCACACCACAAGAAAAAATTATATATATAATGGACAAATCAAGAGGACACCGCCAGTAGACACTCCTGTCATATTCATGCACGGTAACCACAAAGCAAACTCATCAAAGTCATAAAATTTGAAAGAGCAACTTACCTCATCAAAAGTAACATCATCTGGCAGCCCATTAACATAAACGTGTGTATTTACTTTTAATTCAAACCAACTATCAGGAGGTTTATTTGCTTCCTGCAAATTTATCACACCAAAAAAAAATGTATTACAAAAAAATTGAAAAGGCATGTCATAAGGTAGATGGAATAGAAGCCTGCATCTTCAAGCTAGGCTCCCAGAAAAAAAAATATAGGCCTCGTTTGGGAAGTGACTATTTTAGTAGGCTATTTTAGTTTTTGGCTATTTTAAGTAGGCTAAATTTTTTGTGTTTGGGAAGATGATTGGATTTTTTTGTGGTTGGATGTGATGTTTGTGAGAGAAAAAGTGAAATGATTATGGGTTTGATGTGATATTTTGTCTTATTAGCTATTTTAGCCTATTTTGTCTTTTTGTGATTTTTAGCCTAAATTTGACTATTTTTTTTCTTCCCAAACACCCCCATATATGTTCCAAATCGAATTGCATAATGATAATAATAACATTTGGAATCATTAAGTTCACCAAAGAAAAAGAAAGTAATTATATATACACACATACACTTATAGATATAGCAACATTTCAGTTAATTACTAGGACAGAAAAGAAAATAAGAAATAAAGAAAAAGAACACAAGCAAAGGAAAATTCTAAATCTAAATTAACAAAAAGAGAAAAACAAGAAAATTATAAATAGATAAATAAAAGGAGAACCTTTTTCTCAGCGGGTTGGTCAGGCAACTTTCTCTTGGCATCGCGCTTGGTTTCCACTGCTTCACTGGTATCATTGATTTCTTCCTTTAAGGAGGCATCAACATCCTGCACTATTGGAAAGACTTCCTCTTGTTGCAAGAAAGTCATCTCTTCTAACCCGTATTCCCCACTATTTGTTAATGTATTATCCTATAATAAAATCAAGTTAGTCAAGCTACATTCAAATCATGACAGGGTTCCTGTTTGTGCAAGTAAAGAAACATTGCCAAAGATGGAGAAAGCATTAAACATAAAGAATACATACATACATACATACATACATATGTAAGTGCATAACGCAATGGGGCCTCCTAACCTTAGCCACATTCTATTCAGTTAGTAATTTTATTCTATGTTGTTTGTCAAACTGAGTGACCATTGGTTCAATGGTTAAGACTTGGCCTAATAACCTTAAGGTTATAGGTTCAAGTCTTGGAACCATCACTTCGTTTACTATACAAAAGGTTAGATGTGTACTCAATATTTCCCCTTCCAAACACACATTAATGTGTACTTTTTTTCCTTTTTTTTGGAGTGTCAAACTGAGTACAAAAACTCAAATCACTTCAAATAAAAAATTCAGGTGACGTTGTCTTATGTTCTCCAATACCAAAGCAGATGTTCCATAAGCCAAAGCCATAAGAAAATCAACAAACACGAGGCAACTAAAATAATAAGCTAATGCAAATGTCCAATTACCTACCTGAGGAACCCAAGCTCTAATACCCCGATCCCACTTGTATGTGGTTCCGTCATCATCAGTGAATTCTTCCTCACCCTCTGGTGGCGTTGAAGGCCTATCAGTATCATCATTGCTAGCGGTAGGGTCATGCTTCAACACCTCCACCTCCGCCTCTGCTTCTGCCTCTGCCTCACTCACTTCCTTTTGCCATTTTTCAAACTCATCATCATTGTTGGAGGGGACTGCAAAATACACCTCACAGTAAAATCACTAACCAGGAAATGAAACTAGCAACTGATATTGGCATCATCCTCTGAAATGAAATAATCAATACCCTGTTGAGAGATTTGAGTCATCAACTCAGGAATCGAGGCCAGTGGCTGCCAATCGGTCCGTCCTTCAGACCAAATCAGCGTACTTCCAGAGAGGTACCCACTGAGAAAATGCTCTGCCCAGATGAAATGAATAAGCTTAAGTAAGTGGTGCAATATCTTGTAAGACCATTTGAACACAACATGGACAGAACAATCATCCCAAAACTGTACCTATTTGTTACTAGTAGAACTAAAATCCGAGAAGGGAGTGTAAAAAAATAGAAGGCATGGCATCTAAGAATTGAAGACACAACAAATTAAACAAATAAAAGAATTACAAGTTGCTATAAAGATTAACAGACAGACACCCTTATTCAGTACAGCATTTTCAGTGCAACAATGAATCCATTAAAGTATGAGCAATTATTAGTAGAAAGATGCCAAACTCACCACATAATTCAGAGAAAGTATAAGGGCCAATATGTTGCTGATCTTCACCAAGAATATACCACCCTACCTCTGTAGTCCTTTCATAATTCCCATCAAAACTGTTTTGTGTGTCTACAAATACAAAAAATAAAATAAAATAACTCAATTTTTATCGTAGCCACAAAAAACAAAAAACAAAAACAAAAATAAAGTTGCAGATTAAAAATAAAAGAAACTAATGCAGAACTTAAGGGCATCTCCAATCATTGACTAGTTAGTTTAAATTTGGGTAAAAACACTCAAAAACCTCTACACTCCTTGCCTCAAACTTATATCAAAATGCATTTTACCCAAATCAAGGAGACTCAAATGTTTACTCAATTCTTTTCATGAACATTTTGCAGCTTTCAAACTTAGAATTCTATAATTACTGAAGCATTTACTCAAATTTATGCTTAATTCTGAGTTTGACCATTGGAGATATCCTGAGTAGATAGATATCCATACATATACACACACATGTATTCATAACCCCACTTTTGTTCCGAACCCTAAGATTCTAGTTTAAATTTTTTGAAAAACAAAAGACGATATTGAGAAAGAAAACAACAGTGAGCACAGGAAGTACACGACTTCACATACATATAAGCATGTTTATCTACCAATTATTGGATGTAGGGTTTCATTGCTTGTATATATACAATACATGAGAAGAAGAACAAGAAGAAGATGTGAATTTACCGGTAATCTGAGGAAGATCTTGAGGTTGTTGCGACGACATTCTTGCACTCCTGTTCTGTGAAAATCAGATGAAGCAAATTCACTACTTCACATTTCTCAATTTCATTAGCTTCCAATTTTTTCCACTGTGCAAATTTTTGTTTTTTTGGTTTTTTTTGTTTTTTGTTTTTAGGGCTTGAACGATCACCGAATACGGATTGGGGCGGCAAAACCAAATGCATCGGTCAGGTTGGGCCATAGGGTTTGGGCCTTGAGGTAAGTACCTTTTTTTTGGGCAAATTATCCGTAAATCTTTTTTCGAAAAGTGTATATTTTATTTAATTTTAAAACGTTTTAGATAGATTCAAAAGTCCTATACGCATTTATTTTATCCTCTTTTTTTATACATGGCTTCTTCTCTATATCTCTTTTTCTTTGATATTGGTGACGACCATGACCACGATTATGCCTTTATTTTTTTATTTCTTTTTATAATCTATAGTCACCGGCGATCACTATTGATTGAGTTCATAGGTAGGGATGGCAATTTACACACGAATCGACAGGGACCCGCCCCCCGACCCCGGTTAGAACGGTTTTTTTTCTTAAAAATACCCCTGATGGACTAGGGATGGTATTCGAAAATGAATCTCTAACAATTTTCAAGCTGGGGACGGTGATAGTTTCCCTTGCCCCGTGTAACTCCACTTTTCGTGCTCCTTTCAGATATGACTAACTCTACAGTTCGGACTCCCGTGATTTTGAATCTAATCTCACAAGTGCAATGTAAAATAGATAAACACCAAAGAGTCCAAGTCCAGCAAATCTTTTGAAAAATCGATTTTGAATCAAAATGCCAAAAATTGACTGTTTTTCCAGATATAAAGTCGCCACCTAAATATTTTTGAAAAATTTAGGAAACCCGTGACTTGTGCCAAAGGCCACGTGTCCGTCATCACAAAGATTGTCTCGGCTCAGGAACTTAGGTACGAGAAGGGAAGGTCATGAATTAAGCACCCCACTCGCCTGATCAAAGATCAGTCTCTACTAATCATGATGTGAATCTTATTTACATTATGTGCTATTGTTCCGGTTATTAGGCTAACATTATTATGTGTTGCATACAAGTATAGACTACTTTACAAAAATTGGAACACTTTGATTTCATGTTTATTTTGAAAATTGTTTCGAATATGCACTACTTGAAAAAATGATGGCATATGTACATTACTCAAATTATTCCAATTCAAGCAATTAGCTTTCATCCACAAGCATTCGAGTAAGTATAGCAATTAAGCACTTAGCCTCATGGCAAGCATGCTAAGCATGGCAACAATCACATGCATACAATGTGCTAAAGCAAATAAAATGTTCACCTAGTGCTCCAAGGCAAGCTAAAAGAAACAAAAGAGTTAGAAAACATGCGTGCTCCTAACTAATGCAACATGTCTAATGTAACACATGTAATGATGCAACTAATAGGCTCGGTTACTAATTATGACATGTGAATTAATTTAATAGCACGCGCTTTAACACGTTTTCAACGAAGTATGTAAGCTACAATGCTTAAGGCATAACATTCTAGTGGTAATGTCCTCTAGATATACTGAAAGCTGTCAATTTTTTTGACTCTTTAGTCAATTGAATTTGCCAAAATCTACTTTTACAATCAAATTTGCTAAAGATTTTTGATCCTTTGGTTAAGTTAATCAAAACATTTTTTCTTGGAATAAAATATCCATCAAATTCTAAATTTTCATTTAGCCGTTTATAGTTGACTATCATTCGGGCTTTTCCTCTTTTAATTTCAACATGGTTTCTTACCATAAAAGCTGGACTAGAGTTAGGGTTTTTAGTTTCTTCGATTAACTTTTTGTCTAAAAATTCCCGGAGTTGAATATCAAATTCATCTATATCTTATATGGTATAGATCATTGGTCTTATTCTAATGATAACATTATGGTCTTTTAATTTCAAACTACAATAACGTGGACTACGTTGCCATAGTTTTAATGGATGTTCATTAAAATTTTCTTGTAAAATTTTATAAATCCAATATGATTCATCAATGGTTTTGATAATAGAGGTTAAATCACCACGCGACACGGACGCAAACTCTTTATCAAAAATATATTTATGTTATTCTAAAAAGGGAATATGAATTAAGACATTGTTTATGCTTAATGAAATGACTTTTTCCTGTATTTGTATTGGAAGGTATTTATATATAAAATTGTTTCCAATAAGGAAATCTCCATGCATATACGAAAAACATAAAAATTTTGGTATAATGAACTTGCTATCATTTAACCAAATAGCTATATTTTTAGCCATGAATTGTATGGAAGTATGGCTGCCATCAATTCCAGTAACCAAAATTAGATGTTTCATTAATGTCCATTTTTCTTATCAAAAAAATGAATATTAATATTTCCTTCTTCGGACCATTTTGCTTGAGTGTTACCACTGTATTGTTCAAACACTCTTGCTGAAAAGAAATTGAATTTTGAAAGCTTATAAATTTCTAGAACAATAACTTCTTATATTTTTTTGAATTTTGCTAATTCTTCGTCGGTAAAAGTTTTTTCTTCTCCGATTACATCTCAAGTCGAATGGCTTGTAATTCTTCTTGAGATATATCATCTGCTTCTTGAGATATTTCTTGACTATTATTAGTCATCATAAAGATTAGTTATTCATCTGAACTTTCTTCATCACTATAAATTTCGTATAAAATTTATTCTTCATCAGAAATTTTTTTGCCATATATTATTTCAAAATCTTGTTTCTTGAAGAACTTTGATAATTTTCTTTACACTTATTCCCTTTTTGGGCATTCGGGTGCATAGTGACCTTCTTCGTTACAAATGTAACATTTATAAGTTTTCTTTTTTGAAACGCCTATTGGTTTCTTTTTTCGAATATACTTTTTCTTTTTTGAAAAAGTTTTGTTCTTTTTGCAAGGTTGCTATTTATATTTTCTTCATTTTTTGGAAAATCATTTTCGTTTAGGAAATGTATTACAACCAATTTTTCAATTTTCTTTTAAAATTTTATCATAACACTTTTGACCGTATTGTGAGTTGGAAACTTGATTTTTTATTTATTTCTTTCGCCTTTGCTTCTAGACATTGATTTGCGATCAGTCTTAGAACATAATTAATGCGAATACCAAGTCCATCATATTCTTCCTTTCCATTTTTTTGAGAAAATCAGGATATGTTTTAATACATAACTCATCCCATGTATTAGGGAGTTTATGGAAAAATTGATCTCACCAAGGTTGATTTACTGGTGGATCAATAAGATAGTAATATTTTTTAAAAGTTTGAACATAGTCTTCAAAAAGACAAAGACAAATATTACATAATTCTAATTTAGTCAAAATATAATTTGCATCTGCTTGCAAATTAGTGTCTCCTGCAAAACCACATAAAATTTCTTTTATGATTTTTGCAAACTCAGCTAAAATTGTGTCAAGTGTGAGAAAATTTGTCAACAAAGCCGTTTTTCGACTTTTTCCAATTTCATATTTTCCACACTGTCTTAACCATTGCAACACATCTCCTTAGAGAGTTGCTACAATATAATCAATGAATTTTTTCTTTGACCAACTATTTTTATAATTGGTAATAATGATGAACAAGGATTGTGCCCAATCATCAATTGTTTGTTCCTGATCCTTAAATAGAATATGAGACAAGTCTAAATAAGTACCATTTTGAACTATTGAATACTTATGATTATTATCTTTTCTAGATATTATTGGCTCAGGTGTAGGATTAGAGGTACTTCCAATGTTAGTATCATTTTTAACTTCATTTGTTTGATTAAAGTCAAATTTTTCTCTATCTCCCCATGTGCCAAATAATTCGGGATCAATTGGCTCTTCTCACTTTCTTTTCTCTCTATTTATTTCTGGTGAGATATCTTGATCTAATGTTTCTTTAGATGAGGATGATTGGCCGTCATCATCATTAGTTGATATATTAATATCATAATTAAAGTGCTGTAAAAGGGTTTCATGTTTTAGATAAGTTTCTCTTATCTGGTCTAGTAGCCTATTCTTTTATCAATACCTAAATCTGGGTCTTTATATAATTTTCTCCAATAATTCAATATTTCAACAATATTTTCATATTCAGTCCTATTATAGTTATGGGTTTAAAGTACCATAATATCTTATGTACCATAAAATAGCCTAGGAATGTAATTATCTCTGGGACTATTCATTCCATCATTATTTATGAAGGTTATAATTTCTAATTTTGTCACCAAATTGTTTATTTGGTTTTTTACTTCTTTGTTTAAGTCAATATTTATTATAGAACCAAAATTGTCTATTTTAGATTCTATAGACTCAACTTTGGTTTCTAAATAATTTTGATTTATTTTTTTATTTTTATCTAATTTAGAAAACTAAGAACACATAATATCAGTAATATTATTTAAACTAGAACACACTATTTATATTTGCAGACTCTTTAGTAATATGTAAACTATGGTCATATTTATTATTAACATTATTTTTTGTATTTCCAAAGCATATTATATCTTCAGAGTTAATTATCATTATAGATTGTTGTTGGTATCTAAGACTCTCCTAGTGTATTTATTCGGTGCCTAAAACCTCTCTTTATGATCTTAAAGACTTAATTATGGCCAATAGTCAAAAGATTTTAATGAGTATATGGGCTTTGACATACACTAAGCATATAGGTTTTACAACAACTATAAATGAAACAAATAATTATGAAGATATAAAATACAAAGGATACACAATTAAAAACTTTGATGAAATTTTTTTTATTTATTTTTTTTAATTTTTATAACATAAAACACACCATACACACTTATATGTATAAAAAATTTAGACGTAGAGAGAAATACTTGCATAGCTTGATCTTGCTTTCAAAAGCTTTTCACTAAGCTTTAATACCAATTACAAAAACAAAAAGGAAATGAACTTTTTACTATTTTTCTTATAAAATTATGAAAGAGTTATGGAGTTAGAGATGAAGTAAGCAAAAAGAGAAGTTTTTGGCAACTAAGATGGAGAGAATTTACATGCTTTATTATGTTGGCTAGCAAGCCAATTTATAGACTACATGTTGTATATACAAACAAAACCCAAAAGTCATCCTAACATTATTACATATCTACTTTGTTAACAACTACCAATCTAATACGGTCAAAACTT